AATTTTGTTATTAAATTTGATCCATGTTTAGAAGATTCCATATAGACACTCAAAGGAAATCATTACTTCAATGTATGTAGCACATCAGGGTAAGAAGAGAATAGGTGGTATTCCAACTTGTTTATTAACATGTCAGAAAAGGCCTTGCTGCCCACTCGCTCATACACTGTTGCTGGGGACAGGGTGTTGCATAAACTACTTGTAAGACTGTTTCTCATATATATATGTATGTACAAAAGATATATATATATATCAGAAATATATAAGAAGGAAAATATATATAAGGAATATTATTAATATATATTTATATGTTATATTTATATTTTTATATATGTATATATACTTATATATTTATATATTAGATTTATATATATCATATGCATATCTATATATTTTATATACATATAAAAAATTATATATTAATATACTTGTCAGGGACCTGTTTCCACAACCTTGCATGCGATTCTTCCTTTATCCCATTTTTTTCTGCACAGTCAGCTGCCACAATTCATGTTCAAAAGGAAGTTCTCCAGGAACTTCCAGGATTGGGAAGGCAAACGAGACGTCTCCAGAATATCCTAATGAAGCCCACCAAATTTTATGGGACAACAAATGAATGTTAATAAAATATTAACCCTGCTGTTGCAAATCAGTGTTACATTTGTCAAAAGCTGCTCCAGAATCCGTTGCATAGTCTAAAAACTATATTAATATATAATCAGCCCAAGTAAAACAAACCAAATCCTTCTTCAAGGAAAGGAACCTGGATTTTAATCAACAAAAGCTGCTTCACTGGCTTCCACAACAGCTCAACATGAAAAGCTTCCAAAATTTTCTGACCCTCTACCTACACACACCTAATACCACCAGCAGAGTGCGAGAACCTGCTAAAACAGCTTCCTGTGGTGCTGAACTCACCGGTGTGAAATGCTGAAAGCGCAAACACAACCAAATTGCTATTTATCAAAGTCTAGCTTCCCTTTCTTGCACGGTCTTGTGGCAGATTTTTTTCTCTCCCTTAGATAATGTTGTTCTGTGCTACAACCTCCTCAACAAAGAGTAAATTTGGAACAGAAATCTGGATTGTCAAAACGAAAGCATGAAGAAGGGAAATTATTATTTTATCCCTACCTCCCTGCTTAGACTGTTGAGTACAAGCTGTGGTATTTGAATCTGGGACTGAGCATGTAGGCTGGAAATGGAAATATCCTGAATTGCTTTATATGCTTCCAGTTCTTTATCGTGATTTCGATCCAACTGGATTTCCACTGAAGCTATCGCAGTAGTGTCAGCAGAGTTCCCAGATCCTTCCAACCTCTTTTGTTTGTTTCTGTGTCTTCCCATGAAAGCCCTGGTGAAAAACGTGTGCTATTATTTGATAAAAGGCCTTTCTGGAAAACATAAAGCTCTCCATCCTCTTCACTAGGCTTTGGGCATGAATGATATCACCATAAGTGGCGGGTCTTGAAGAGACCCAGCTAAGTTAGTTTATGAAACTTCAGGACATGAAGCGCTAATTGCTCTGTCTGCAAAGTAGGATTGAATTTACTTCTAATATTTCTTGGCTCTCTTCATTGCCAGGCGTTCCCTGCTTGAAACCTTAGGACTGCTAAACATAACCTTTTACTGGCAAAGAGGAGAAAGAGGGATTGTTTTCCAGCATATTTGGATTGCAGTTATTTGCCTTTGTAGAATAAAAAGAAAAGGTGAAGGTTTTCACTTTCCCAGTTTTGATTCCCCTCTTACTAACCTCGGTAAAAATCATATGGAACCACAAAAAAACAGTTTAAAAAGTTGCTGTGGGAGAGGAATTGGTTCCTAAGCTTTAAATGGAATGGGCTAGAAAGGACAAGAAAAAAAAGCTGTGACCTTTGCTGGTTCTGATTTCTGTTACATATGTTGCTCATATTGAAATTTAATATGAAACCCAGTGGTCTGAAACAAAGCGTAGCCCGAAGTGACATCTCCACTTTGTATACCCCAGTATCAGGTAACCAGTGTAAGAATACTTTATGCTGCCTCTTAGAGGATAGGAATGCTTATCTGTGTTAAAATAATTGCTGAGTTTGTTCCTGCTGGCTCCTTTCAGGTCCCCGTAAGCAATCTCTGCTGAAACACACTTGAGGCAAAGAGCTTATACAGTAAGCTTTCTCCTTCTAAAGTCTAACACTGTATATAACATAGTCCACTCTAATTAGCTTTTGTAAACATGCATCCAGCAGACAAGTAAGCAATAAAAATAACCAGTGAGCAATGTAGCAATCCACTGCTTCAGGCACAACATTTTTAAGTATTTGCCCAAATGATGGCATTACAGTAATCCTGCACAGTATAAACTGCAATCGCCCTTTTCCTCTGTGCTCTAACCTAACGATGAGCCTTCCAGGTGACTCACTGTCAGCAAGATGTTCACTCATGAACTTTTGGGTAGAGAGACTCAGAGTGTGGACTTTCCAGCATGACATTATCGAGCTCTGAGGACATTTCCAAGCAAATATTTGGACTTCTTTGTGGGTGATCAGCCCAATGCTTCTCAGGCAGAAACATGCTTCCTCTGTCCTTTTTCCCCCTAGGAATCTCAGTCCTGTACATCTGGCCCAAAGTACTTCTATGTCAATCCTACTGTTTTTAGCTTAGACAGTGAGGTAGGTAGTCATCAAACTGCAGATTCAGAGGCAATTTTCTTCCCCAAGTTTGCGAATATTTGGCCTTGAGAGGAAAAACTGCAGAAAACTGCTCATTTATAAGCATTTAAATGTTCACAATGCTTAATCTTCTAGAATTATCTTAGACCTGTTGAGCAACGAGAAATCAAGTTTTCCACTTATGAACTAGCCCCAAGAAGACTACCCTCCTGTTTGAGGGTATACCTGAGGGTCAGATACAACATTTCTTTGCTTCTAAACTTAACTCAATTTTTAAGAACAAATTTAACAAAGCTGTTTTACAACTTTAAAGGTTTCACAGTATGTAGCACCCTCCAAGGCAGAACTGCTGCCCAAAGCACCTTGCTGCAGGAGAATCATCACAGCCAAAGGCCAAGAAAAGGACTGCAGTTTGCCTCTGGTTCAGTGACACTGGCAGTCCTCCCTTTAACGAAGATTGTAAGAGCCCATCCCAAATAAACTGAACTGAGGGAAAAAGGATAGGGAGGCAAAATCGAGGAGGTCATTAAATAAGACATTATATGTGGGAATGTTTGCATCCTTCTTGGAGCCTTTCCCTTTTTTATGGCAAAGAATAAAAAAAGATATCTCAGCTTGCTCATTACTAAAATTGTCTTTCAGAAAAGACATCCTTTAGCCTAGTTTGCTAATAAGTAGAAATATTGTCTTTTCTGAATTTTCAGACGTGTTCATAATTTAGAGAATTTCTCATTCCAGTTTCTAAGGTAACCGCAGTTCCAGTTCATTTACAATACCCCAGCTTGTCAGCACCTTTGAGGCAAGATCCCGTAGGGCAGCCTCTTTTAACTGGGCCTTACCTAAACTCTCCTGCACCTCTTAGCAGCTCTGACTCAAAGTGAGTTGCTGCTCTACTACTTTTGTCTGAGCTCTTCAACTCTCACGAAGTTATGAACGATTTATCCAGAAAAAAATAACTCAATAAGAAATGTGTCTTCAAAACAACAGCCACCCAATGTACCTACTTGCTGATCATCTGTCTTCCAACATGCTTACTGATTCAGACTTTATGCACTTTTAGGCCTATGAAGCATTTGCTCTTGTTAGTCCTAGTGAGGTTTTAAAAGACATCCCTGTTCCCAGTCAAGACTGCTATTTTAACAAATGGTCAAAACTTCCTTTGGTAAAAAGTTTGTGTGTCAGCTCCCCTGGAAAATGAGCTTTAAGCATCTTCCGCTTGAAGACAGTGTTACCTACCTCCCTACATGTTTTTTTTGTCTTGAAGGAAATATCTCATGCCTTATTTATCTGGGAATGCAGCTACAGAGAGAAACTTGAAGTTAAGAAACATTCCTAACATTTATGAAGTTAATTCAATCTTCTTTAAATACTCCATAGCTTGAAAGCATCTGTGACAAGTCGTTTTTGGCTTCCTTCATCCTTTTAACATCAACAGAGTCTGCCACACCCCCGAAGCCATCTGTGTATCTCGTGTAAAACTTCTACAAGGGCTTTTGTTTCTCTTGACCACCTACATCCCACAAATGGAAAGAATCACTTTTATTTTTCTCTCTTAAGCCCCCACAGTATCACCCCCACTTTGGGGGAAGAAAGTCAACAAGCCCATTTGGTTGCAGCCTTCAGAGAAGGGGTGCCTTCGCATCAACCTTATGCAATGGGAATGGTGAAGGGTGGGTAACAGAAGGGCATCAGTATCTGAAAATTAAAAGAATTGTGTGAACAGACTGCTACAGCAGGTGGGAGAAGTGGGGTCATGCTACTGGGCAGGACTAGAATGGAAACCAAATCACTGTATCAGGATGCCACTTTATGTATTTTAGCATTAAACTGAAGTAACCCTGAAAATGGAATTATGGTCTCCTTAAGACAGTAGTTTACATTCTCTGTGCTAGAGGTATGAGGAAACGAGTGATTCATTCATTTTTGATGAATCCCAGCTTTATTACACTGCCTTTTTTTTTTTATTCAGGAAATAATTCGGATCTGCATTGTCATGTAGAACTTGAACCAAAACTTTCTCTGAGGTTTTTAAAGGTTGCAAATACAATTCCCTTATAAACATCTGTGAGTTATTTCTGTACTTCAAGGACCCACTCAGCAGCAATTCGATAAGTCTAAAATGCATGAAAAATCTGTCCCTGAAGAGCCTTATACCAATTTGAAAACTCATAGAATTTAGTGCCAGTAAGAACCAGGCATATGTTTGGCCTCATGGTTTAAAACCCACTGGCATCAGCCAGGCCATTCCCACTAACCTCAATAGCTCTTTTCAAATTTTAGATAAGGCTGAGTAAAATAACTGAAAAAAAAAAAAAAAAAAAGATTTGTTCTTAGTTTTTTGTGAGTTTGACCATTATTGGTTCCGGATACTGAATTATTAAAAATAAAATTGGTGTGATTGTCATTGAGATATATATTCCCTGGTTCTCTGAGGTAAGATATTAAGACGTGTTTGAGGAATGACTAGATCCAAGGCAGAACGACCAACCACTTCTTTTTGTGCTTTGGGTTGCTAGGGATTGCGGTGGCTCCAGAGCCGGCCCTCCCTGGAGCATGGCAGCTGCTCAGCAGAGAAGCAGCCACTAGAGAGCATGACGAGACCACTAACCTCCCTGTGTTTGATCTAGATAAGGACTGGAACCAGGTCTTCAGAGGTAGAAGGCTACTGCTCTAAAACATCTTTATGACTGAGCCCTATACGCAAAGACAAAAAGCCAACGCAAATATGAATCTTCAAAGGCAAAATAAAAGAACATCGACCTTCAAGCTCAGTGTATTAAATGAAAGACAGCATGAACTATCTCATCTCTATTTGGCCTTTCATATGAAAATTATATATAAATGTCTTCATTATACATATATTTGAGCTCAGTGGAAAGTCTTCAGTATGGAGTGCATATAAATATTTATGTGTTGCTGGCAAACCTCTGAACATCACTGCTTTGTGGTTATTTCTTCTGTGTAAAGCAACCTAGGAAGACTAAAAAGGGGACATAAATGGAAGAAGATAGACATGCTTAGTATATTTAGAGGACAAAAGCAAAGCTAAATAGTGAACAAGATGTACAAACCAATTATTAAAATCATTCTATAGAAGTTTACAGTAACAAAAGGAGAAATGGGAAACCTCTGGAATGACATAGCTCTAAAGCTTTTACTTTTATGTTTCTATGATCATCTCTAAGTCAATATTAGGAAACTATCTGAAATGAGTTGGGGTTTGTAATTTACTTCCTGTTGGGGCAGTGATTCTTACTATGAAATAGGAGAACTTGGAAATTTGGCACATTATTCAAGGATCAAACAGAACAGGAAGAAAAGGAAGACATTTTCTTCACACTGTGAGAAGAGCTTTTTTTCCATCAGTGAGGATACAGACTACATGATGCTGATATGCTGAAGTTTTCTATGGGCTAAAAGCTTGACTGATTTTAGTAAAGGAAAAGGTGTCTCCAAGGATGGCTCTGTACTGAGGTGGGGGCCTGGCAACATGCACGGGTGGGCACTGGGATGGCCCCAGGTCTCTCTCATCAGAGCTGATGTGTCCTCAGCGAGTCAGTTTCATGGCACTGTTCCAACAAACTGCACCATGTAGAAAATGGTAAAGTAGGAAAGATGAAAAAACAAAAAAAAACCCCTCCAAACTGACCCCCCCCCAGTTGAATCCAAGTTAAATCCATAGTTTATGGTGGTGAAAGAGGTACATTTCCAAAGAACAACAAACTATTGCTGTGCTCAACCTGTATATATGACACCAAGAGTGTGTAGTGTTGCCTTCCTGTAAAAAACAGTGAATGTATTTCAGTAATCTTGCCTGGCAACTTATTTTCCCCCTGAGAACTCACCTATTCTGAATACCCATGTATTGTTTCTGTTCAATACTAAGTTTTAAACCTGTTGGCTCTCGGTATACATAAGTATAGGCTTTATACAACAAGCCTCCCACTCCATTCTAGATCCTGGGGACCAGGATACAGTGGTATGCATTGTAAACTTTCTCTGTTATTCCCATAGCATCGCTAAGCTTCTCCCCTGAAGGAACTTTTAGGCTATTCCCCAAATCACCAAGGCTCTCCAACATCCAAGCTACACAAGGAGCAATCATCTGATTCATACATATCTGTACTGAATGAGAAAGGTTAGAATTTGATCAACTTGAAGAATATTGAGTCAGGAGACAAGATTCTTATTGACAGGTACAATGAACTTTATTTCTATTGAGCACAATCAATTATAATCTGGTATGAGACTGTTTTAAGCATTAACCACAAAGTCCAGGGCAGGACCTCCACAGCCAATCAAACAAAGGACAAAACTGAAGTGCTCCTGTGGCCTCATGCCATGTGATGTTCTAGAAATCACGTCTGGATTCTTCAAATGGGATTAAATTTCTAGAATCATCTATTTATTTCCTTTTTTTTTTTTTAATGTAGTGGGTTAAGTGTTGAACCAGGCAAATGCTGGCTGCCAGGAAAAAGAAGGGATAGAAGGAACAGAACACTGAAGCAAAGGAAGGACAGATCAGTGTCTATCACAGGTAAGTGTGCACCCCTGGAAGAAAAAATATTCCCATTGATTGGTGCCATCCTACTTGCACACAGAAACATCGAATTGCAGAATCATAGTAGCATAGAATAATTTGGGTTGGAAGGGACCTTTATGGGTAATTTCGTAGAACTCTGCTGCATGAGCAGGGACATCTTCAACTAGATCAGTTTGCTCAGAGCCTACAGCTCCCTGTGCTACTTTTCCAGCAGATTTCAGGGTGCTTGAAGTCCCCCAGAAGAATGAGAACCTACGGGTGTAATGCCTTCCATAGCTGGAGTAACAAGGTTTCCTCATTAGGGTGGCCTTGATCAAGTGGTCCATAGTAGGTACCAACCACAATGTTCCCTTTGCTGCCTCAGCCTCTAATTCACTTTCATGAAAGTTGAAGGTCACTGCCTTTTATCCTTAGTTTCTACTGTAGGTCAGAGTCTTGGCCTGAATCAAATTCACAGTACACTACAGTACACTGACCTGCTTTGTTTGAACCTTGGAGCAATAAAATCATAGCATATCCTGGAATTGTTGTCCATCTGGAAATTCAAATCCACAGGAGAGATAAGGAGCCTGAAGCATTCAGACTGAAGTTCCTGTGACGCTCTCCAGCTGTCAAGGAAACTGATCAATGTTGGACCATGCTGGAACAATGTGTTTTGACATTTTCAAAGCATATTTTAGTTGCATGCTCTTTAAAGAACACATATACCTACACAGACACACATGTGTCTATTAATTACTGTTGGCTCAACCGAGGATGAAAACAAATGTGTAACTATTTAACTGTATCTTCTAACCAGTTTTAGTTGGGTTCTGTATAATTTCTGACAATTCTGTATAGTTTCTGACAATTTCTATGATAATTTCTTTGGGGTACAGCAATGAGAATAAATCATGATGGATCAGTACGGCTTCTCCTTTTGCTCCCCCCCCCCCGCCCCAGTTATCAACCATATATAAGCTGATCACTTAAGATTTACAAAGAGATGTCTATTTAATAGGCATTATTGCACCTCAAGAAACAAGGATGATTCTGTTTCATCCTGTGTCAACATGAGCACTATGTTTACTGAAGAGGCAGCCACAGAATTCTGGATAACAGTTTAAACACACCATGAGGATGTACAAAGTTTTAGAAAGATTCACAAATCTTGATCCCCATCAGTGCAAATTGTGATATCTGTATGCATTTGCCGGGTGCTATTGCATTTGATTATCATTATAAATTGTCTTCAAAAGGGCAATTGAAAAGTGGTTGTTTATTTCTTTTCAGGAGGGAGTGGAAGTTTGGAGGTGGGGTTAAGTTTGGAAACAAAATTTGTGCATAGCATCAAATCTTTTTGCTTGATATTTCACCTCTGGTTACTGTTCTAATAATAATGCAAACCAGCAGGCAAGAAGATGTGGAGTTTGCAATATTTTGGACTTAAAATTACAAAATTAACTTTCTAATATTCATAATCTATCTTACAGTACCCTGCAATTTACTTCAGCATTAACAGTGTGATAATTCTTTGTCAGCCTGACAATGATCAATGCATCTTGCTTTCTTAATATATTCACAACGTGTGCTGCATTGACTGCAATGGCAGGTGTGTAGATTGGAGTATTATAATACTGTTTGATGTGCTGTTCAATTTTTTGTTATCAATCAAACATTCTACTTGCTGTAGTTTTGACATCACTGAAATAACCGTGAATTCGGATGTTTTGATGTGTTACTGAAAAAAAGTATGAAGTATACTTTATGTTAGATTTCTTTTGGTATTGTTACAAAGAGAATTAGCAAGAGGATATATATTTGCCAACATGTGCGTGTTGCTGTGAGGGAAAGTTAAGTGCAACGATGTTGTTTGCTATTGATTCCTGTAATGTCTTTAATAGTTCATTTTTGTTTCCAGACAGAAACTCCCTGAGGGAAAAGTTAAATTGTCCAATACCAGACCATGTCAACTGATTCTTGAGGTTTGACTAATCGGTCAATTAGGAAATACTGTGTTTTGGTGGTGGGTTAATGAAAGCAGACATGTGAAGGGGAGTGAGGAAGGCAATGGCTGTTACTTAGTGGCTTCCTTTGCTAGAAATAGCACACAAAACGAAGCTTCCTGCGTTTGGGATGGGACTTATATGGTAAAATGTAGGCGTCTAAAATGTCAGCATGGACCTCTGAGCAGGTCATCACTTTAATCACCCTTTACAATGGATTCAAAACCTGTTTTAAGTAAAAAAATAAAAAGCATGTCTCAATCTAATCTTAAAGTAGATGTTAGCATGCGGGCATATCAATTGTTTACTAATTCTGTTGATAATGTTGACTGCATCTTCACCAGCTGCAGTGGGAGCCTCAACAGCTAGTTGTTGGCCTGCATAGTCAGTTAAGAGGACTCAGGTTTTCCAGGAGATCCAGGAGAAGCCAGGGGACCTGGAAAGTGTGTGGAGACCAGCCCAGGCCAAGTTGTAGCTTTATTTCATTCCTTGTTTGTCCTCAGTCATAAGGACATGGCATAAGCTAAAAGCAGTTCCCATCAAGTTTATTTCATACCAAGGCACAAGGGTGACGAAGCATAGCAGACAATCACCTTTTCATTACACATTGGCTTACACTGCACCTGATCTTTCACTGAGTGGAAAATCAGTGCCAGTGCCTCCTGTAAAAGATAAAATATCCACACAGGTGATATCTCTGCTTGACACATCTGAAATAAAAGGAGCAGTAAAACTGTCACACACTGCATTCCCCTCATTACGCTACGGAAACAGCCCACATACCTCTATAGAAGATATATTTGGAAAGATGTTGAGTCAGGCTTACAATTTAATTAAGGCAGAGTCTAAATGAAAGGAGAACTATAATAAAATATTAACTACAAGGAATATACTCCTACTTTTTAATCACACTGCCAGCTCTGAAACACCATAGCGTGACAATGTTAAGAAGTAAGATAATGCTAAAGATGGAAGATGGAGGAAGACCTTACTTCATCCTGAATTAATATTTAGATAAATCAACAATATGTCTTCATGAGACTTCCCATCAAATTGACTGTAATATTCCAGTTTGCTTGAAAACAATTCATAAGCATCTGAGCATGCCTACTCAACATTAATGAAAGATGAATTAAAGATTTATGGAGGAGTCTAGACTTCTGTTGTGTTTTTTGCCTGGCTGCTAAAGCTTCATGACAATGAAAAAGAATTAAAAGGTTTAAAATTTCAAGAAAAGGAGGCTCAGGGGAGACCTGGTAACAGTCTTCAATACCTAAAGGGGGCCTACAAGAAAGCCAGAGGGGGACATTTTACAAGGATGTGTAGTGACAGGACAAGGTGAATGCTTTTAAGCTGACAAAGGGAAGATTTTGATTGGATATTAGGAAAAAATTCTTTACTATGAGGATGGTGAGACACTGGCACAGGTTGCCCAGGGAAGCTGTGGCTGCCCCATCCCTGGTGTTATTCAAGGCCAGGTTGGGGGGGGCTTTGAGCAGCCTGGTCTAGTGGAAGGTGTCGCTGCCTGTGGCAAGGGGGTTGGAACTGGGTGATCTTCAAGGTCCTTTCCAAACCAAACCAGTCTGTGATTCTATGAACTTGGTGTCCACCAGGAACCCTAAGTCCTTTTCTGCAAAGCTTCTTTGTAGCAAATTTTCCTTTTAATATTGCACCTCATGTACATTGCTTCTTTATTTTTTTCATTCCACAAAAAGTAAAGCAGTGTCAGTTTGTACGTTTCAGGTAACCATCAACTGACAATCATCGCCTAGCTGAAGAAATCAGGTGGCAAGTCACACTTTTTACCACTCAAATTGTTTCTTTTCTAGCTGTATACAGACCCTTTTCAGTTGAAGCAATTTCTACACTACAAGTTAGCGATTTGCTTGGAAGAATTCAAGTACCATAATTAAAAGCAATAGTTGATCTTAGTGAATGTATCCAAAGTGTCAAGAAAAGTAGCACCTAATTTAATTTCTTCATGGACCTGACTGATCCCATGTCTCTGAATGGCAATTTTACTGAAATCAATTTAGGCAGAATGGCAGATTATAATTTATTGATCTGACATTCATTTAGGTCTCTCATTTTTGTAAACATATTCCCTGGATAATAAAACTATAACTCTGTTAGATCATTTAAAAAGCTCTCTTGCCATTCCATTATTTTCTTTTCTTTACCAAAGTTGACACATCACTTTCTTCGGTTTGGTGGTGCTTTGTGTTCAAACCTTTACTTGTTCAACTGCAGACACAGGGTTTAAATGAAACAGGACCAACTATGTCAGACAGATAGCCATTTAAAAGGCATTTTTAAAAGCTACTTGTGATTAAAAGGACAATAGCCTATAGAAATCTTTTTCCTCTCTGAAAAAATAGTTAACATTCAGAAATAAAGCTTAGCTATATTGAAAATCTCATATTTAAGAAGTAAATTGTAGGAAAAGTGAAAAGACTATTAGAAGTTTAAGCAGGACTTAAAACAGATGGCAAAACCCAATCAAGTCAGAAAATAAAGTAAATGAGAAAAATGAGAGTTAACTACAATTGCTGAAAAGGAGAAGTAGAAGAGGTCTGACATGGAGTGATACAACACAGTGTATAATATGTAACTGCTGGTAGATGGGAAGCAGTTTAGCAAATTATGCAACTTGTATGTGTACTATTTTCCTTCATGTTTCCATCTTGCATCTTCCATAAACTGGTCACGTACTTTTGCTACAGTCAGCCGATGTGTTTATCATTGTTCCTTTGTTCATTTGAAAAAGTAACCATGGATTCATGAGGAGATGTTGATTGAAGGTCTGTGACAGGAATACTCTTATCTATGAACTGGGGCATAATTGAGCAACTAACATAGAAAAGAAGATCTGCTGAAATTTCTGTGTAGTACAAGCCATGTGGTGCACCTTTCTTACATACACATTTCCTGTTTGTGTATGTATACACACATCTTATCGAACAGAACTCTACCAGAGAAAGATCACCAATACTCACTCATTTACAGCCCTGTTTTCATTTAACAAAGCTGTAGATTTTCATGTGTAAAGCAAGCTTTCTAGTTCTGTAATTCATCTCTATATAAGCTTTATAAAAGATCGATCCTATTTTAGGATCCCTTTTGTCTAAAGCAGACTTACTGTAAAAGAAAAAAGGAGTGGGTGAGGCTGGGAGAACTAGGTCCTAAAGACAGGCTTTTCGTTGGTCTTCTAGAAAAGTCACACGTAACAATTTTTATAAACTTGAGATTTTTGACTGGCACATTTTTATAGGATGCCATATTGCTCTCATTGCTAATCACCACCTCAAATGGATACATTTGCTCCTTTTTTCTCTTTAGGCATTCTTATTAGGCAAAAACTTCCTCAAAGAAGGACTGCTGTGTTCTAATCTCTTTTATCACACTTATTTCCAAGAACAAATGGGCACTTAGCCATTCGCTGGCTGTGAAAAACAGATAACAGGGAGACACTAAACTAATTTTCTTTAACGGAGAGCACTTCCTGCAGCCAATTTGCATTACTTTGTTGTCCATACTAATAATCATTTCTTAAACAATCTCTTCTTTGTATTAAGAGGTTCACTGAGTAAAAGGTGTTACATTGTAATGTTACATCACAGAAATAAATGTGATATCATGTGGTAAAACAAAGATGCCAAACAAAAGACAAGACCAAAAAGGACATGCGTTTAATAATGCTACACACAATGGAGTTGAGAATAGGTAATTGAAAATTAATATCCATGCCTAACATTAATTACCCAAAGTAACTCTGAGTATTGACATACACAGGATCACATCAGCTATGGATG